TCTTATCTTTTCAAACCAAAACATCTTAAAATCAAAAGTAAAAAAGAAATAATCTAGACTATAAAATCGTCTTTTGATACAAATATTTATTTATCGTCTCAATTTTTAAGTTGTCATGAAATTGGTTAGTCTTTAATGTTGGGAAAAATATATTTATATTTTTATAAAATATTTTTGATTTAAAAGTGTGTCAAACTTTTATTTTTTTTAATACATTTTTTCATGATTATTATAAACGACATTCTCATAAAATTTTAAAAGCATATATTTTATAATTAAATATATTATGCTTATAAACCTATCATTAATTTTTAAATGACAATATATTTATATATTTGAACATTTTCTTCATCCCAATTTATTTTTTGCAAAATTTTATAGCAAAAATATTAAATTCCAAAGAATGATATTTTTTCCGTATTTAATTTCAAATTTTCAAAAGCAGTGTTGACCATTTCAATTTTCAGAAAAATTTATTTTTTAAATAAGAAATAAATATTTATATCTCTCTCTTATAGAATTTTTAAATATATAAAATAAATAAAAATATATAATATTATATATTTGTTCTTATATATTTATATTTAAATGCAATATATAAAACAAGGTACATACATATATATATATATATATATATATATATATATATATAATTTTTTTCTTTATAAACTATTCTTATCTATTCTACACTCATTAAGGCGGTGAATATATATATTCTATATATATATATTAATATATATATGTATTATAAATTAAAACTATATAATATATATTGCATTTAATATATGAATATTAAACTCGGACAACATTTTTTTTTCTTACCCCACTAAATCTCCATTGGTATATATAAGGCATAATATATAAATATATTCATTAAGACAGAATATATTTAAATAGAACAATTCTTAGTTTTCGTATATGTTGTTTTCACTACCATAATTAAAGATAAAGAGTTTCTTGTTGTTAGATTGGTCGGTCTTGAACATATTTTTTCATCCTAATGCGTTTGAATGCAAAATGGATATCTATTAGAAAAAAATATGATACTGCACAACAGATGTATCTATCAATTAATATATATATATATATATATGTATATAAATATGTGTAAGAATATATACATACATATGTACATCATGATTGAATGTTTATTATTTCAGATCATATATATATTTGGACCCTGCCCTTTTATATATAATATAATATATATATGGTTTCAATGGATATCCGTGAATGTATATGTGTGTGTGTTTAAGAATCCCACTTAATATGTTTGTATAAATGATTATTACATACTTATATAGCTATTTTTGTATGCCTTCTATCCAAACTAACAGAAGATTTTTTATTACAATTTCTGGGATGATCCTTTTTTTCAAAGAAGACAAATTTGTAAATCTCCTGTCAATTTTTCCTAATCAAAAAAATTTTTTCACTGAACTTGGTAAATTCGAGCTTTCCATTTTTGTTTTTTCGATTATTTGAATAACTCGTCTGGTCACATTTGTGTGTAACACTTTTTATGAAGTGAACCTTTTTCTGGTAAATGCTGCTTTATAATTTTGACTACGTATAAATTGTTTATTATATTATTTGGCCATAAAAATTTTTTGCTTTTGTTATTAAATAAAAAATAAACACAATTTTATTGATGGAATAAATATACAATCAAATCACTCCAAGTGATCCTTTTTTGAACATAGTATATATAGTAATTTTTCTAATGTTTGTTAATTCTTGGATGAATTTGGCTAATTGTATAAATATTTATAAAACTTTTGAATCTCAATTATAAGATCCTTCAATGTTATCAAAAAGCTTTTGAAAGGTATCAAATTTTAATTTTATTTTTAAAATGTGTAGATTTGATTATAGTTGATGTTGGGTTTAAAATAATAAATTAAGCATTTTTCCAATAACAAGATGATTTTTGCGTTATTCAGAAACGTGAATCGGTGAAGGATCAAGGTTAAACATTTTGGGTTTTAAATTTTTACCTAATTTTATTTTCTGACAGATGTAATAGCAATCTATTTGACAATTATTAAGCTAAAATGCGAAATTAATTACCTTGTCAGTTAATTTAAATAAAAAAATTAACCGTCCATTTTTTAAGGAAATGTTAAAGCTGGAGAAAATAAACGCGTTTCCTTACCATAAACATTAAAACATATTTGGCAAAAAAACAACAAAGAAGAGAAAGGCACCACCAGGAATTGAACTATATATCCCTTTAAAGGAAAACTATGTTTGATCTTTGCATTCAGACTAAAAAATTCATTTGACAAAAAAATTTTAGTATGCAAAATTTATTAAAAAAACCATACTGATTCATCCATAAAATATTATAAATTCCTGATATTCCAGTATTTTATAAAAAATTCATCAATGATTTTTGTTAAGATAAAATATAAATAAACTTATTTCTCTCTTAATTCAAATTGTACAGATCTCGCACTGACTTTCTTTGTATATATACATAGACACATATATATATATATTATCTTAATATAAAGTTAAATTACATATTGGACAGGATGCGATGGATGAATTCATGAGTGTAAATTGACGTAAATATGAAAATAAAAATTTTAATCTTTTTTAACAGAATTTTGCAAAATTACCCAAAAATATCTAGAAATAATAAAGAAATTTATTCAAATTTTCCTTATTAGATTTTTCAACCATGGCCAATAGATGACTTCAGTCACAGTCCTGCTCTTCTTAGAAGACAGCTCCTTGTTTAAGTTTGTCCAAACTTGCCCATAATCCTGTTAAAACAGTTCCATCTTTTGAACGTGTGTGTTTTTATGTATATAAAGCGATAGATATTTGTTTCGCTTGTTTGTTTTATTTCAAAATTTCTTTTTATTCAAAATTAACGCTGAATTCTGCATTCAGGCCTTTAAATTAGAATGAACCCAAAATGTTATGTTTTTTAAATGCATTCTATATATATATACTGGTAGTAAATTATGTGTTAGAAGACTTTATAAACTCACTTCATAATCAAATGCATTTTTTTTTATTAAATATATATATATATATATATATATATATATATATATATATATATAGTGACATTAACCATATAGGCGTAAGGCTAAAAAGAACCCCAAAGAAAAATCTTAAATTCTAGTCGAAAATTAGCTAGATATAAAAGAAAAAAATAAATAAATAAATAAAATAGATAAAATCCAATGCTTTCAACTTGCGAGCAACATATGTTTCCATGATCAGCCATACCCTCCTCTTCTCTTCACAAATTTTTTCCTCTTTATCTACTCTTCCACCCACAAACCAAGGGCCCGTGAACTTTGAAGTGACCCGACGCGAGAATGACCTGGTTCCAAAATTCGCAGCTTATCAGGCGTTTGACCATAAGTGAATTCCAGGCACCATCAGGGTCTCCTGCTGCGATTCACGTGATCAGACCATACTAAGCGTGGATTGAAATTTTGGCCATCCACAAACACAGCGTGATTTGTGCCCCATCCTCCTGCATACCCGGTCAAGGACGAAGAAACCCACGTGACTGTCTTTGGGGACAGGAAAAATCTAAAAAGGATTTTCAGTTTCTGTCTGACCAGCGGCAGATGAACGCCGCTGGATCAAAATCATCCCGATTCAAACAGACTGCCCACTGAGATGAAGAAGACAGCAAAGTCTGTCGACTAGGGAAAAGGACTGCTATGAAACTGAATCAACCCAACGAAACGCCTGTACGAGATGTTGTGGACCATCGAACACTTCGAAAGAAAAGAAATCCAGGAAAATTGCCAGCCGACCAAAATATTGTTTTAGCATAAGAACTCTCGTTTCAAGCGAATCAGAACTTTGTGTGAAAATATCAACTCAACTGAAAGATAAGTTGATTCCTTGGTTTGATCTGTTTTTTATATGTATGTATTCGCTCGCGCTTTCTTTTTTTTTAATAGTCCCCTTCCTTTGTTAAATGAATTTTTTTTTTTTTCTTTTCTTTACCTGTTTATATATTTATAAATAAATGTTTTTTTTTGAAATCCACCGTCTTGTGTCTGTTCTTCATGCTGTTTTGTCAGGTTGTTTTTAGAATAAAAGATCCCGTTGAATAAGGAAACCTATGGACTATATCAAAATTCATGGAAATACATACATACATACATACATACATATATATACACACACATACATACAACTTAGTAAAATATTCAATCCTAATACCCCCAAATTAAGCTAAAATTTTGCAGATAACCTAAAGAAAATAATTAAGAAATATAACAGATTTTTAGAACTATAGGGACTCAAAATATACTAATGACCAGGTTACCAAACTACTATATATCAATTGTAGGAATCCAATATCAAAAAAGTTTATATTGGTAGCACTATGAATTCATTCCAAGAACGTTGGCGGGGACATATGCAATCTTTCAATAGTAGTAATTATGAGTATAGTAATTATCTTTGGAGTCTAAAAGAGAAGAATAAATGGAAATTAATCAAGAGAGCCCAAACATGTAATTCCCTACATGCCCCTTGCTATCTTTGTCTTAATGAAAAATTTGAAATAATTAGATTTAAAAATAAGACCCATCTCTTTAATCAAAGAAATGAACTAACACTTAATTGTAAACATTAATGGTACCTTGCTAATCGAATGGTCCTCTGTAGCTTGATCGGTTAAGAGCATGTCAGGCTAAATGACAGTTCTGTATAGGATACAGGTTCGATTCCAGTCAGAGGACGAATATTTTCTATAAAAATTTCTTAGACAATCAGGCCGGTACATGTTATAAATACTGTTTATTATAAAACAGAGCATTTACTTAAATATTTGTATCTATAAAAATAATGTATAAACATAAAATATCTTAAAATGATTGTTGGACTGTTTCCATTTCATTATATATATATATATATATATATATATATATATATATATATACACAAATGATATAACCTATATATATATATATATATATATATATATAAAGATAGATGATCAAAAAGTAACTGACCTGGAGATAAACCATGCCAAATTTACCCGTGGCCAAATAATATCCAGCAGCCATACTAACTGCACTTCCTTCATTGGCTGTGATAACATGCTTTTGACGGGGTGTGTTATCTGTTATATAAGCACAAAAATCTGCAATGGTAATAGAAAAATGTGTATTTAATGTGCATTAATTTGTTTGTTTAATGTTTTATTCATTTATTGCTTTATTATATAGCAACTGAACAAATTCACAGATGATTATGCAGGATTAATGTCAAATTTTCAATATCTATCTATAAGTGGGAAATGAATAAAATTTTTGAGACACCTGAGAAATTTCTTGGCTACAAATATTTTTCTATTTTCTATTGTTTTTCACAGTATTTTAGTTAATATTTTATTTACACAATTTTATTGAGATGGAAGAATACTGAAATATTCTTGATCCAACCAATAAGCCCCAACAAAATAATTCTGTTTGGGTCTGAGTTAAAATTTTCCAGCACATCCTTATGAATCATGGTGCATAAATAAGAAAATAACACTGAATATCTGAAGAATAACATAATTAGAAATTAAAAAAGTGCACTTTTCCAGGTGATAATTGAATTCAAATAAGAGAGAGAGGAACCTATCCACATAAGATAGAAGAAATAAATCATCTATCTGCAAATTTTAATATGTAGCGGAACTCAAAGATATGACTTATGCAAGAAGGGAGATCAAAACTCAATTCTAACTGAATCAAAATAAAAAATTTTACTCATCAAAATTCATAAACGAAAAACTTATATCCAAATCCATAAGAGAAGTCATGTATAAGGAAGAAAAAAAGCTGCAATCCTTTTGCACAATAAAATGAAAAGGTTCCTAATCTTTTTGATGAAGCAATTGTCTAAATTTGCAGTCAAGTTTCATCACAACTTTGATATTTTGGAGAAATTTTCTAGATCCACTGTGTATATGCACAAGTTTTCTAACTCATGCATATACACAGTGGATCCATAATAATATTCCATTTTCATTGTACTGTTCCTATAAGTAAGGTTATGAAAGGAAAAATGCATAAATTAGAAGCAATTCCACATTTGTAAAAAGTGTAAACATGTTCCTTCTGCCTCACCTTTCAATAATGAATCTGGAACCCCACAGAAGAAGTCTATGCCTATTTTCTGCATAATTTTGTAGAATTCAGCTGGGTTCAAGAAATCTCGTACCAGTTCAGTGAGCATCCCAGCCTCCTGGTTACGGACATGTTGCTCAATGACTTGCTGAAATGGATTGTAAAGTGAATATAAATAAGATAAAAACTCATTTCACTTTAAATTATTAATTTCTCAAAATTAAAACTAAAGACTTGTAAAATAAATTTTAATCTATTCATGTATGAATGTGGTTTTTTTTATCAGAGTTTTGAGGTAAATAAGTTTGCCAACATTATTAATAATGAAGAATTCTAGAGACAAATTTGAAAATACATCACCAGCTTCAAATGTGGACAATATTGTACTTCACTTAATGAACCTTATTTTTAAAGTTCCTACAATTCCAGAGGATAATATATAGTCTTTAATGGAGATTTAAGAAACTGGTACATCAGTAGTTAGAAAAAAGGTTAAGAAATGTTTTCCTTTTAATGCAGGAAGATTTCAAAATAGACCTACACCTGAGGGAAGGTCAATAGCTTTAAAATTTCACTATTACAATCTTTTCAAGTTACATTTTGATATATTTAATATGTGCCAAAAAAATGTTCAATTAAAATCTCCTGTCATGAACAAAATGGAAAACTAAGTTTAAACTGGAAAGAAAGTGTGGAATGCAGTCAAAGCAAAAGATAAGGCAATTTTTTATATCATTAGGTTTATATTAAACAAAATTTGTGGGTAAATAAAATAATTTATAGTGGTAATTATTGCTTGAAAAAAAATTGTAGATGAGATTACAACAATGCAAATGAATTTTATTTAAAAAACAACAAACTGTGAGCAGAGTTCAAAGTCTGTTTTGCACGTGTAATTATAAAAGTTGAAAGAAACAGAATAAAGTATAGTAAATCATCCACACTCCTTCTATGTGTTTGTGCATGTGTGTGTAAAATATAGCAGAGTAGATAAACTGACCTTGAGTGAAAGAGACATCAGGCGACAGTTCAGTAGAAAAATCTTCTAGAGAAGTTTAAAAAGCTGATCACATGACCAACTCCTGATCACAAGACCAACTCTTTACAAATATGTCTGAAAAGACTTCTTAGAACTGAATATTCATTTTTGTAGAAGTTTAGAAACATTGAAAGACGTGAAAGTGAGTAAATCAGTTATAATACATGCAGTGTTATCTTAAAATAAAATAATGAACAGACAACTAATATCTATTTGTATAAATTTGTATAAAAAGGCAGCACAAGAGCAAAAATTGTTGAAAGGTGAGGCTCTTCTGCTAACTTGTTTCATTTGTAACTCATTAAGAAGTCATCCTCTGTTTTTCATCACAATGTGACATTTTCTCCACGGAGCCTGTAATATTACTCATGAATGATGATATATTTATAATGAGTGATATACATGCATTAGCATCAGTGATGAAGAGATGTAAACAAACAGACAATATGAGATTCTATAAATATAGTATTAATTCTACAAACAATTTTCTATAAATCTTATAATGTAATGAATCCAATGATTAAATATCAGTCTCTCTAGCTGTATCAAATAAATGTCCCTGTAAACAAAACTATAATCATCAAAAACTTTTTTTTTTACTCTTCTTCACTCAAATTATTCATTATTGAACAAGTAAATGCTGCTAGATGCTACAGACTGCACAAATTCCGTTTTAAACAGAGGGTATCACTATAGGCAGCCGACTGGGTCCTTTCTCAAACTTCTATATGACTCAGATAGAAAATAAAATACAAAATAACTAAATTAATCATATACATCTGATAAATTGATATTTTCATTTTAACTAAAAATGTAAATGATATTAAAAAGCTAAAAGAAATATTCAAACATAATTTTACATATGAACTATATATCAAAAAAAAAAAAAACTCTCCTAAACATTCTATCAAGTTTAATAGCCATAAATTTAATAAATTCTTTGTATAAAAATATTTTCAGTACTAACTCCTGCCTTAACAACAGAAGCAAATACCCTCATCAATATAAAATAGCTATTATAAAAAAAATTTATTTAATAGAGCCAAATGAATTCTTTTAAAATAATTTTCTACAAAGGATTAAGTAAAATTAAATAATGATTTTATAAATTATATCAACAAAGTTTTATTTAAGGAAGAATGGTAACAGTGGAATAGTAATAGTGTTTGGCACTTTTATAAGTGCCAAACACAGAACACCACCACATCATCATTTTATGGATTCATTCATTATTCATGTTATCATAATCAGATGCACTCAAGCTATAAAATAGATGAAATAAATACAAAAAGAATATAATGCACAAATACATAAAGCCCACAGTCTGAAATAAACATTCATGGATTCCTTATCTATTATAAAATATTTAAAACACTTAGTAATCAATAACACTACATTAACAACAATTCCCTTATATAAGGCCAATATTGTTTACAAATTCACTTGCCCTATTCTAGATTTGTATCTTTGAAAACAAAAATATATTTCATGAAAGATATACAACAACCCTTTCTCATAGGCTCACTTATAATATGCTTTACCAAATACATGATACTGCTATACAGTACAAAGATTCAGATCACAAATAAAGAAACCCAGAAAATATTCATTCATAGACCTATGTGCATATACATACAGAAATACAAGCATGCAGTTTATGTTAAAAAATATTATAGATCTTTAAAAAATGAATGCTGGGTAAGAAAGACTTTAAATAATCAATAAATTTCCAAAGTGAACAAGAAAAATTCAACCTAATTATTATGAATAATGACTTTATTAATAAGCCTTTTAAAGTGCTGAAAAGTTACAGCTGTTGCCTGTTAAAAAATGGGCTCCATTTTTTCGTTTTTTTCATGCAAACCCAAACCGATAAACAGAATAGATCATTTACTTCAAAACGGAAATTGTAAATAATCATTAAATTTTCTAGAGACACTATTTAGTAGATGTGAGAAAATGACTCATGGTCATACTACAAAACAAATTAAGTCAATTAATGGTCTTTAAAAATCTCAAATTGACTTCAGCCATATACAAATCTTGATACTAAGTTTTCGATTGCTGTACTATGAGGGCATTTCAAACATTCAAAATAAAAGTTTATTTCCCCCATTTTTAGGTAATTAATTCTACCCGAAATATCATGCTAATCTGACTTCTTTTTTATTACAACTATTTTATAAAAAGAGCTGATTCCCTGTCCATCACACATTGTCAGCATGTAACTTTGAATGCACATATGTAATGTATATGCCTTTGTGTTGAGTGTGAGTGATCCATATGTCACTGTGCCATCTAATGTATATACATGAATGCATGCACACACACAAACACACACAATTTAACTGAGTTTACAACATTAAAATAATTCATTCCCTTCCCACTCAGTTTGGACAGCCCTTAGCATGGGCTGAGCAATAAAATCAAAGCTAGAGAAAAAAGAAAAATTTATCAACAGCTTAATGTCCATCAAACTGTCCCATTATATGTATCTGACTAAAATAAAATAAAAATAATCAGTTTTTTTTTTCTTACCTACAGTGTGAAACTTTAGCATCATATCAATAATTATTTTACTGTTTGTCTCATTGATATCAGTCTATTTATATCTATTGGTACCTAGAACCTGACAACATAAAAATGGCCACAAAGTAAAAGTCCAGTTTATTTCTTACAGCAATAAAAAAATTGAATTCAGATAAAAATGGTAAGTGGAATGAGAAGTAAAAATGGCATGACTAATAATTATGAGATTTTAATGAAGTTTTTGGAAATTATTTAGTAATAAAATTATTTAAAAACTTTTTTTTAAATTTTGTAAAAATATTTTTAGGTGTATCATTGAATTAAAATATCCATGTACATGCAACACACCCAATTTGAATTAAATTGAAATGAACATCTGTGCCTTTTTGAAGTCTTTTTTTATTATTACTGTATTTAAACTGAACATATTTTCTACCAAACTAATTTTTATAACTTTCATGTATGTTCAATCAGCTGAATTGTAAAATCTCATCCTATCATTTACATATTTTGCTATCCTGATAATAATGTTAACTTCCAAAAGAAATGAGTCAAAAACAGCTATATAATTGAAATTACATATCACCGTTTCTTGTGCAGAAAATACAAATGTCTATGTTTTCCTTAAGGAAGCACTCATTATGTCAATAGTTCCATAAAATATTCTTTCAAATGCAACTTTACTTTTCCACTCTAGTTCTCCTGCAATTAAATGTCTTCAGTTTCTATACAATTAAAGTTTATTAAGTGTTTACTTTAACTGTTGGAAACTTAAGTTACTCATTAAACTGATCAAGAAATGAGTACAGGTTATTTAATATACCTTTGGTTCTTCAGAGTCACCTGACTCCTGCTTTGTTTCTCAAATTATGAACCATGTTACTACACACAATTGCCAATACTTTTTTTTAGTTCAACTAGTATCTCTTTTATACAACATGAGCACGACCAATGCCACTACTTACCTATCAGTGATGACAATGCTATTCTACTCTCCTTAATCCTTCCAACTTCCCTATCTTCCACAAACCAGCATTTTATATCTGTCTTTAATAGTTCAGGTACTTTCTGTAACAACTTCATGAAACCTCCCTGTAAGATACTTCCATAAATTTACCAATCAATACATCTACCAAAACTAGGAAAGAATCCTTGGTTTCAAATCTCTACTGACAGGTAATCTGGTGGCAAAATTAATGACTCTCTAAACAACCAATTGATAATTCAATGGTTGCACTATCTTAATGGTCTCTGGTAACTACTTCTAACAAACCACTGATAACACTAACTCCTTTTATAATGAGAGAGCCACATTTCATCTGACAAACTGATCACTATTAGTAATGTCTTATCCATCCTTACCTCAACCTGAAAGCTGTGTGTAATCTCTTCTTCATCTTTCTTAAACAATTCCAGTATGATACAACAGATATTTCCCAGTTGTATAAATGGGACTCTTAGATGGATGTATATATATATATATATATATATATATATATACCCAATGTTTGAACCTCACCTGTATGCTTCTTCAGGTGTTCACAGTATTAACTTAATCCTTAATAGATTCAAGTCTATAT